TCCGCCCCGCCCCTCGCGGGCTCCTCCTACGCGTGCGCCGTACGGACGCGCGCCCGAGCACAGTCCCGGCAGCCTCCGCGCGCGCAGCCGCAGTGCTCCTCCCCGCTCGCGTCAGATCCCGGCGCGCACGCCCCCAGGCGTTCCCTCGACAACCGTCCGACGCTCCCCCTCGCTCCTGGCGCATGCGCGCCCCCACACACCGCCAAAGGAAGAGCGCTTCACGCCTCCCGCTTTCCCGCGATGGCACGCTCCCCCTGCGACGGTGATTTATATATTCGAAGGGTGGGGCCATAGAAAGACGTGCCCCCTTCTCGCAGCTTAAGCCAATCGGAGTTCCCGACTGTCACCACACGCGTGGAGCCGCAGCCAATCGGAATCTTCTGTACAGGGCGTTCCAGAGGCCACCTCCCCCCCTTACTCCCGCCTCCTTTATCCCATTTTCACCAATAGGGGAACTGGTGTATGGCGTCTTTAACCAATCAACATTCCAAGATAATTTTCTCGAAAGTGTGGGTGAGGGTCCTTGTTTGCTGAGGGCGGCGCTTATCATGTGCCCGTGACAGTGTTACTCAGGTTCAAAGCTTATACCCCCCCGAAGAAACTGAGTTTACTATTTAATGATTTCCTAGGATGGCAATTATTAAAGAATTATTCTCAGCATAGGGTGTAAGGTGGCTGCAAGAGCACCTAAGTCTCTAAAGCTTCGTAGTCATGCCTGCAGGCATTGATTTAAGTCTCCAAAGCGGACTCCCCATGATTCCTAAACAGAAGTATCGCCGCTGCCCCAGAGACGGATGTTTTGATTATAAATCGAGTAAAAATTCCGCCTTGCATGTAAACAACAGCACTTTTTTTTAAAGGGCTCCCAATATGGACAGTTGTGAAGGGTCACGTGGTTTCGCTTCCCGAAGATGTGTGCAAAGCCTCCTGGTACATGTAGTTTCCGAGCGTCCAGGGTTCCGTCTGCCCCTGTGCGAAGACGCCGCCTCCGCCCTCCTCCCTAAGAAAAGCAAATTGAAGCCCGTGTCCCTGCAACAAGTTTTTTCTTCCCTGTAGATTAGGACGTTCGGCTCTTTTGCTTTGCACGGGCCCGATACACGTGTTGGACTCCAAGCCCCATTATCCACCAACCAACAGGCCTTTGCACAAGTTGGTCTGTGGAAGACGGCAGTTGTAGTAAAAAATGCCCCCAGCCATCCATTTTCGGCACCTTCCAGTATGTTTGGAGTGGCTGGCACCGCCTCGCTCGCGTCAAACAACAACACAGGGAGCTGAAGTATCCCTCCAAGCTGGCTAGCTTTTGGCAAACTCACCCCGTTGCAATTTATTGTATAAATCCTGGCTATATATATCTTCTAAGTAAGTAAGTAAGTAAATACCCCCTACACCTCCTTGTTGCCCTAGTGGCTGTCTGGATTTTTCCAGCCCTAGCTTGGCGCAGAGGGTGAACTTCTCACCCTCCGGGCCCACGAAGCTGTGCTGCTGGTTCAGTGGGAAATAACAGCAAACATCAGGCGGCGAATCACCTTTGCGTTGTGGACCAAGCATCAGAGGCTGCAAGACTTTGGAATTTTATTTATGGCTCCTTCTCGCGGCCCCCAGGCCCGGCGCCCGAAAACAGTGGCTGGGCTGGGGGTCCTGTCGGTCCCCCC